AAAGCACCAGCTTAAGCACCATGACAGGCACCAGCACAAACACCAGCACTAGCACCAGCAGAAGCACCAGGACCAGCACCAGCACAAGCACCAGCACAAACACAAGCACAGGCACAGGCAAAAGCACAGGCACAGGCACAGGCACAGGCACCAGCACCAGAACCAGCACTAGCACTAGCACTGGCACTAGCACCAACACCACCACCACCACTAGGACAAAAACCGGCACTAGCACTAGCACTAGAACAAAGAAACAGCAGAAATGCCGGCACCAGCACCAGCGTCAGCACCAGCACCAGTACAAGCACCATCACAGGCAGCAGCAGCAGGCAGCAGCACAGGCAACAGCACCAGCACTAGCACCAGCAACAGCACTAGAGCTAGCACTTGTAAAGGCACCAGCATCAGCAAAAACACAAGCACCAGGACCAGATCAAGCACCGGGACCATAACAAGCACCATCATTAGAACCAGCAGAAGCACAAAGACCAGCATAAGCAACAGCACCAGCACAAGCACTGGGACCAGCACAAACACCAGCACCAGCACTAGCACCAGCATCAGCACCAGCACCAGCACCGGCACCAGTACAAGCAACAGCAAAAGCACCAAAAACAGCAGAAGCGCCAGCACTAGCACCAGCACCAGCACCAGCACCAGCTCCAGCACCAGCACCAGAACTAGCACTAGTAAAAGCACCAGCATCAGCAGAAACACAGTCACCAGCAAAAGCACAAGCACTAGCACCAAAACCAGCGCCAGAACTAGCATTAGTACAAGAACCAGCACAAGCATCGGCAGAAGGGCCGGCCCTGGCACCAGAACCAGCACTAGCACCACCACCAGCACCAGCTCCAGCACAAGCACCAGCACCAAGACAAGACAAGATTGGTACAAGCAGAAACACCAACATAAGCACCAGCACAAGCACCAGCACCGGTACCAGCACCAGTACAAGCAGCAGCATTAGCACCAGCTCTAGCAGTACAGGGACCAGCACAGGCACCAGCACAGGCACAAGCACCAGAAACAGCTTCAGCACCAGCACTAGCACTAATAAAACACCAGCATCAGCACCAACACAGGAACCAGCACCTGCAGAAGAAGCAGCACAGAAACCAGCACCAGGACAAGCACCGGAACCAAAACAAGCACAAGGAAAGGAACCAGCAGAAGCACAAGCACCAGCACCAGCATAAGCAACAGCACCAGCTAAAGCACCGGAACAGGGACAAGCACCAGCACCGGCTGGACCACTGGTACAAGCTCCAGCACCAGCACCAGCAAAAGCACCTGCACCAGCATTAGCACAAGCACTAGCACTAGCACTAGAGCAAGCACCAGCACAAGTGCCGGCACCGGCCCAAGCACCAGCACAAGCACAAGCACAAGCACTGGCACGAGCACAAGCACCAGCATCAGCATAAGCGCGGGCACCGGCCCAAACAACAGCACAATCACTGGTACGAGGAACGGTAAAAGCACCAGCACCAGGACAAGCACCAGCAACAGCATCACCAGCAGCACCAGCACAAGCAAAAGCAAAAGCATAAGCACCAGCACAAGCACCAGGACAGGCACAACCTCCATCACCAGGCCCAGCACCAGCACTAGGAAGAAAACCGGCACAAGCACAGGCAACAGCTCCAGCACCAGCACCATCACAAGCATTAGTACAAGAACCAAAACAAGCATTGGCACAAGAGCCAGCACTGGCACAAGCACCAGCACTATCACGAGAAGAAGCACGAGCACAAGAATCAGCACCAACAGCAATATTAACATTAGTACAAGCACCAGCACAAGAAATGAACAAAGTATCAGAACAAGCATCGGTACGAGCACCAGCAAAAGCACCAGCACCAGGTCAATCGTCGTCTCCGGCCCAAAAACCTACACCAGCTCCACCACTAGCACCAGCACAACCACCAGCCAAAGCACCAGGACAAGAACCAGGACAGGCACAAGCGCAAGCACCAGCAGAAGCACCAGCACTAGCACCTGTACCACCCGAAAAACCACAAGAGGAATCAATTCGAAAACCAGCACTAACAACGCCAGCACCAGCACCAGCACTAGCACCAGCACCAGCACCAGCACCAGCACCAGCACCAGCACCAGCACCAGCACCAGCACCAGCACCGAATCCAGCAATGGCATTAGCCAACACCGGCACAAGGTACGAGCAGAAACACCAATACCAGCACCAGCACAACCATCAGCACCACCACTAGGACTAGTACAAGAACCGACACCAGCACAAGTACCAGCCAAAGCACCAGCATAAGAACCAGGTCAGGCACAAGCGCCAGCACAAGCACCATTTCTAGCACCAGCACACGCACCGATACAAGCACGTGCACCAGCTTCAGCATCAGCACCAGCATAAGCACAAGCACCAGAACAGGCTCAAGCCCAAGCACCAGCACCAGCACCAGCACTAAAAACAAAACCAGCTCCAGAAACAGAACCAGAAGCAGCACCAGCACCAGCACCAGCACCATCACCAGCACCAACACTAGCACTAGCACTAGTACAAAAAACCAAAACAAGCATCGGCATCAGAACTGGCAACAGCACAAGGACCAGCACAAACACTGGTACGAGCAGAAGCACCAGCACAAGCATCAGCACAATCACAGGCACCAGCCCAAACATCAGCACAAGCACAGGCACCAGCCCCAGCACCATAACCAGCACAAGCACCGGCAAAATCAGAGACACCAGCTCAAGCACCAGCACCAGCTCTAGCACCAGCACCAGCTCTAGCACCAACACCAGCACAAGCACCGGCACAAGCACTAGCACCAGAACAAAGAAACAGCACAAGTGCCGGCACAATAGCCGGCACAAGAGCTGGCACTGGCAAGAGGACCAGCAAAGCATTGGTACAAACAGAAACACTAACACAAGCACCAGCACAAGCACCAGCATCAGCACCAGCACCAGCACTAGCATCAGCACAAGCACCAGTAAAAGCACCAACATAAGCACAAGCTCCAGCAATACAGGCACCAGCACATGCACCAGCACAAGAAACAGCAGAAGCACCAGCACTAGCACCAGCACCAGCACCAGCACCAGCACTAGCACTAGCACTAGCACTAGTAAATGCACCCGCATCAGCACCAACACAGGAACCAGCACCTGCACAAGCACCAGCACAAAAATCAGCACCAGCACAAGCACCGGGACCATAAAAAGCACTAGCCATAGAACCAGCAGAGGCACAAGCACCAGCCTAAGCAACAGCACCAACACAAGCACCGGAAAAGGCACAAGCACCAGCACCGTCTCTACCACTGGCACAAGCTCCAGCACCAAAACGAGCACCAGCAAAAGCATCTGCACTAGCATCAGCAGAAGCAAAAGCACTAGCACTTGAGAAAGCACCAGCACAAGCGCCAGCATCGGCCCAAGCACCAGCACAATCACCGGTACGAGGACAGGCACCAGCTCCAACATCAGCCCCAGTACCAGCACTAGAACTGGCACCAGCATCCGCACCAGCACAAGCACTTGCACTTTCACAAGCATCAGAAGAAGCATCAACAGAAGCACAAACATAAGCACCAGCAACAGCACAGATATAAGAACAGGCACCAGCACTGCCCCAAGCAGCAGCACAAGGACTGGTACAAGCACCAGCAAAAGGACCAGCACCAGCACCAGCACCAGCACCAGCACCTGCCAAAGCTCTAGCACAAGAAGCATGACAGGCACAAACGCCAGCACCAGCACCAACACAAGCTCCAGCACGAGCACCAGCACCAGAAGCAGCACCAGCTCCAGAAGCAGCACAAGCACCAGAACCAACACCAGTACCAGCACAAGCACCAAGACAGGCACAAGTGCCAGCACCAGCACCAATACCAGTTTCAGCAACAGCACCTGCACAAGCCCCGGCACCAGCATCAGCTCCAGCAAAAAGACTGGCATCAGCACAGGCACCAGCTCCAGCAATAGTACAGGCACCAGCACAGGCACCAGCGCCAGCACCAACACCAGCACCAGTCTACTGAACAGGACAGGCAGAAGCGCCAGCATAAGCTCCGGCATCGCCCCAAGCACCAACACAAGAACCGGTACGAGCATCAGCACAAGCACTTGCATCACCAGCAGCACCAGCACAAGCAAAAGCAAAAGCATAAGCACCAGCACAAGCACCAGGACAGGCACAAACTCCAGCACCAGGCCCAGCACCAGCACTAGGAAAAAAACCGGCACAAGCACAGGCAACAGCTCCAGCACCAGCACCATCACAAGCATTAGTACAAGAACCAGAACAAGCATTGGCACAAGAGCCAGCACTGGCACAAGCACCAGCACTATCATGAGAAGAAGCACGAGCGCAAGAATCAGCACCAACAGCAATACTAACCTTAGTACAAGCACCAGCACAAGAAATGAACGAAGTACCAGAACGAGCATCGGTACGAGCACCAGCAAAAGCACCAGCACCAGGTCAATCGTCGTCTCCGGCCCAAAAACCTACACCAGCTCCACCACTAGCACCAGCACAACCACCAGCAAAGCACCAGCACAAGAACCAGGACAGGCACAAGCGCCAGCACCAGCACTAGCACAAGCACCAGCACCAACACCAGCACAAGGACCAGCACAACTATGTGCACCAACTCCAGCATTAGCACCAGCATCAGCACCAGCACAAGCACAGGCACCAGCATAAGCACCAGCATCAGCACCAGCACTAGAACAACCACCAGCATAAGCACCAGCTTCAGCAGTACAGGCACCAGCACGAGCACCAGCACCAGGACCAGCAAAAGCACCAGCACCAGCTCAAGCTGAAGCATCAGCACCAACACAAGCACCAGTACAAGCACCAGCACTAGCATCAGAAGCAGCCCCAGCACCAGCAAAAGCACCAACACTAGCACCAGCACAAGCACCAGCACCAGAACCAACATAAACACCAGCTCCACCACCAGCATCAGCACCAACACCGAGACAAGCACCAGCACAAGGTTTGGTACAAGAAGAAACACCAACACAAGCACCAGCACAAGCACCAGCACCAGCACCAGCACCAGTAGAAGCACCAGCATTAGCACCAGCTCCAGCAGTACAGGCACCAGCACAGGCACCAGCACAGGCACAAGCACCAAAAACAGCAGAAGCACCAGCACTAGCACAAGAACAGAGAAACAGCACAAGTGCCTGCAAAAGGGCCGGCACAAGCACCAGCACAAGGATTGGTACCAGCAGAAACACCAACACAAGCACAAGCAGAAACACCAGCACCAGCACCAGTACAAGCACCAGCATTAGCACCAGCTTCAGCAGTAAAGGCACCAGCAAAGGCACCAATACCACCAACAGCACAAGAACAAGATCCGGCACCAGCTCCAGCACCAGCACAAGCACTGGTACGAGAACCAGCACAAGCACCAGCACCAATACCACCACCAGCACCAGCACAGGCACCATCACCAGCACTAGCTCTAGCACTAGCATCAGAACAAGCAACAGCACCAGCTCCAGCACTAGTACAGGCACTAGCACAGGCACCAGTACAGGCGCCAGTACCAGCAAAGCACCTACACCATCACCAGAAGCAGCCTGGGCATTAAAACAGGCCAAAACGCTGGCACCAGCACTAACACCAGCACCAGAAAAGGCACAAGCATAAGAACCAGCACAAGCGCCAGCAACGGCTCAAGTACCGTCCAAAGCACAAGAGGCTGCACCAGCACTAAAAGCAGAACCAGCACCAGCACAAGCACCAGCATAGGCACCGGCACCAGCACAGGCACCAGCACAGGCACCAGCCCAGGCACCATCACAGGCAACAGCACAACCACCGGCAAAATCACCAGCACCAAAACCAGCACCAGCTTCAGCACTAGTACAGGCATCAGGACAGGCCCAAGCGCCAACATCAGCAAATGCAACGGCACAGCACATGCACCAGCACATGCACCAGCACATGCACCAGCACATGCACCAGCACATGCATCAGCACATGCACGAGCACATGCACCAGCACATGCACCAGCACATGCACCAGCACCAGCACATGCACCAGCACATGCACCAGCACATGCACCAGCACATGCACCAGCAACAGCCTAAGCAACAGGACAGGCAGCAGCACTAGCACCAACAAATCAGCACCAGCACCAGCGCCAGCACAAGCTCCAGCACCAGCACAAGCATCAGCACCAGCATCAGCATCAGCATCAGCACCAGCATCAGCACCAGCACCTCGACCGGTACAGGTGCCAGCATCAGTTGAAGCAACAGCACAGGCACCAGCACCAGAACCAGAACCAGCAGCAGCAACAGCTCCATCACTAGTACAGGCACCAGCACAAGCGATGGCACCGGCCCAGGCACCAGCAAAAGCAACAGCATCAGCACCAGCACAAGCCCCATTGCCAGCACCAGCCTAAGCACCAGCACCATTACCAGCCCCAGCACCAGCACCAGCACCAGCACCAGCACCAGCACCAGCCCCAGCACCAACACCGGTACAAGCACTGGGGAAAGCACAAACACCAGCAGCACCAGCCTAAGCACCAGAACTAGCATCAGCACCAGTAGCAGCACTAGCACCAGCGCCAGCACCAGCACCGGCAGCAGCACCAGCTTAAGCACCATAACTAGCACCAGCACCAGCACTGGGTCAAGCACAAGCACCAGCACCAGCACCAGCACCACCACCAGCACAAGAACCAGCAGCAGCAGCAGCCTAAGCACCAGCACAAGCACCAGCAACAGCACAAGAACCGGGTCCAGCACAACCACCAGCACCTCCACCAGCACCAGCACCTCAATCAGCACGAGCAACAGCCTAAGCACCAGGATGGGCACAAGCGCCAGCACCAACACCAGCCCAAGTATTTGGTAAATCACAAGCACCAGCACCAAAACCACCACCACCAGCATTACCACCAGAACCAGCATCAGCCTAGATGCCAAGACAGGCACAAGCGCCAGCATCATCAAAAGCAACCGCACAGGGACTAGCACCAGCACTAGCACCGGGTCCAGCACAAGCACCAGCACCTCCATCAGCTCCAGCAAAAGTACAGGCACCAGCACAAGTGCTGGCTCCAGCCCAGGCACCAGCACAAGTGCTGGCTCCGGCCCAGGCACCAGTAGAAGCAACAGCATCAGCAGAAGCACCAACACAAGCACCGGGTCCAACACTAAAACTAGAACTAGCAACCAGCAGAGCAACAGCTCCAGAAACAGTACAGGCACCAGCACAAGTGCTGGCTCCGGCCCAGGGACCAGTAGAAGCAACAGCTTCAGCAGAAGCACCAACCCCAGCAGCACCAGCCTAAGCACCAGAACTAGCACCAGCACCAGTAGCAGCACCAGCACCAGCGCCAGCACCAGCACCGGCAGCAGCACCAGCTTAAGCACCATAACTAGCACCAGCACCAGCACTGTATCAAGCACAAGCACCAGCACCAGCACCAGCACCACCACCAGCACAAGAACCAGCAGCAGCAGCAGCCTAAGCACCAG